ATATTGTTTTGTTAAATTATCTATTCTGACAAGGAATTAAAACCAGATATTTTTGCTCAATCGTTGCCATTCTCATCGTTTTTCTCTCTCTTTCCCAAACCCAGTCCATGTTTGTTCAGAACCCACTCTCAACTCTGATCTGAGGTCATTACAAGCTGTAACAAAACACACACGCACCGATTAGAGTACAGCAAAGCACTAAAATGCAGATTATTTTTTTCCTAGGACAGCTCTGCCTTCACCAGGAAAAGTTACAACAGTTGCTCAGTTGCTGCAGTTACAACATAGCCCCGTCCTTCACAATAGAAAGCAGAATCTGGCTTTGATGTTTTGAGACATAATAGAACATTTGAGTTCTGGACCTTGATTGTACATAACAGAGGGACCTTGGCAAACTCAGGAAGTGGGCACACAAGAACCTAATGAGGTTGAACAAGGCCAAGTGCAGGGTGCTGCACCTGGGTTGGGGCAGTCCCAGATATGAGTGCAGATGGGAGAAGAGCTCACAGAGAGCAGCCGTGCGGAGAAGGACTTGGGGATTGTGGAGCCAGCAGTGTGTTCTTGCAGCCTGGAAGGGCAACTGCATCCTGGTCTGCATCAACAGAGGGACAACAGTGAGCAGGAAGGTGACTGTCCCCTTCTGCTCCGCCCTTGTGAGGTCCCACCTGGAGCACTGCATCCAGATCCCCAGCACAGGAGGGATGTGAACCTAAGCCGTTCTATGAAAACCTCCAAAGACAGCGTCTGCAGCAAGTTGGTTCACTGTGCTGTGACTTAACTCCTGTGGGGACTGATGTTCCCTTGGCTGCTGAAGGAAGAAAAAAAAAAAAAAAAAAGGGAAGAAGTACCCCCAGCATGCATTAGATGGGAACAACGCCAGTACATGAGCCTCAAGGAAAGGCTGGGAGGACATCAGGAACCAGGTTTGCACACCAGACCCCAGCTCTCCACTCACAGAAAGGCATTTCTCAAGGAAAGATTGGGCACAGTGTGGAAAGGCAAGTGTATGGGTGAGCTGACTATTTGCACACACCTGCACATTTTTAACTCTTTATAACTCTACTTTCCTCCCTGCATCACCTAAATCCCTCCTTTTCTCCATTTTGGTTCGTTCCTCAAGCATCCCACCATAAACCTGTTACAATCCCCATGTGCCTCTCCTCTGTGCCCCACAAAATGCCTCACCCTTTAATCCCAATCCCTGTGGCTAATCTCAGTAGGCCTCATGCCTGGGCTGTGGGGTTGCTGCTCTGGTGGGACAGACGCAAAGAGACCCAGCTGAGGCATTCATCCTAAATCTGTGTTCCCAGTTGTCCTTAATTAACCTACTGTTACATCATCATTCTCCTCTTGGCACGTACAAGTTGGTTTCACAATGGCTGGTAGCCATTGTGAAGAGCTGGGAGTAACCCAGCAGGGCATTACTTGGGGCCCTCCACCTCACCATTGTATCTCTGGGCACCCCTGTGGGTGTGCAGATGAGCTTCTATTGCCCTACCCAGACAGGGTAAGGGGTGATGCAGGGCTGTGCTACATGCAAAGAAGACGAAGAGAAAAGCCACCATGCTGTTAAGCAAAGAAGAACATACTGGCATTGGCTCCACACGGATCCAGCAGCCACCAGCTCGGGCGGTTTATTTCATAGCAACATCTGGACAAGCAGAACACCACAGCTTTTTCAAACACGTAGTCGGTATCTGAACTGAACATCGTGAACAGGCTGCATGGTTCCAAATCCCCAGCGGCTCGAATCTATGTCTGGGATCTCCTCTTGGTCGTTGACCAGCTCCAGGTCATAGTGAGTCAGCATGAAGAACACAAACAATTTAACTTCTTCTGTAGCAAAGAACCGCCCAGGACACATGGACACACCGGCCCCCCAGGGCATGTTGTAGTATTTCAGCCGTTTGCCATTCCTGTAAAAATTTTTCTTGGTGCCGTCTGGGTTGACAAAGCGGTCATACTTAAATTTGTGAGGTTCAGGGTGGATTTCTGGATTCATCTGCACAGAGAGGTGTGGGAACAGAGCCACTCGGTCCCCTTTGCGCAGACTGTACTCTGTGCCACCACTCATTTTGAGGGTCATATCCTGGAGGATGGCTCTGATCAGGATTGGGGCTGCCATCAGCCTCAGGGTCTCCTCCACGGCACTGTCCAGAAAAGGAGTCTGGGCTAACATGTCTCTGGTGATGTTAATTGGTGGGCTTCCTGGCTTCACTTCTTGACCATGCTCCCTCAAGACTTTCTCCACTTCTGCCTTTACAGCCTTCATAGCTTCTGGATCCTTCATGAGATACAAGAGGAGCCAGAAGGAAGTAGCGCCTGTATTGCCCTGGGATGCCCACAGCATCATGAACTTGAAGCGGTCCCGCATGTAGTCAGGCATGCCAATTTCTACCAAAAACTTGTCTTGTTCACTTATCCACCTACTGACGTTTTCCTTCTGAGAGCTCTTACTCACGGACAGAGCATCCCAGAAGAACCTCTTCAGCCTCTCAGCTTCTACTTTGTCCCTGGGAGGCAACACGGCATAGACCAGGCGGGGGAAGAGGCGGTCGTACTTCCGAAACTCGGTGTACAGCTGGTTGGAGTGGATGAGATCTTGCTTGTAAGCTTTCTCCTTGTTCTCTGTCCCTTGGTACGACTCGGTGCCGAACAAAGCCAGGTACCCAGCTCTGAAGACGATGTTGTAGCAGTAGTGGAAGAGGCTGGCCTCTTGCCATGGTCGCTTCTCCTCTCCTGAGCTCAGCTTGAAAAACAACAGCTTCTGGAAGTTGTCCATGGTGGCTTGTGTCAGGAGAGTGAGTCCATCTCCCATCAGATACTTCTTGTTAAAAACATGCAGATCACTATTGTTGTTCATCTTGGACTTGTAGCCAAAAACCCGGTAGACCAAGTTAGCTGAAAAGGTCAGAAAGTCTAGTTTAGACCGTGATTCCTTCACAATGGCTCCAAAGCAGAAGGGGTCCATCACAAAGGTAAAGTAATAGCCTCCGATCAGCACTGTGAAAATATCTCCATATTTTCTCTGCATCTTACTTAGAAACGCTGAACTGTCCTTTCTGAAATCCAGTGCATAACCCAGCCAGGGAATGATGCCTTTGTCCAGAGGCGGCTCATTGGGTCTTCGTCTCCGAAAGGCCCCCAGGTGGTAGAGCCCCCCAAGCAGCAATACCACCAAGGTACAGAGGAAAACTGTCCAGAATGCCATCTGAGCCCTTCTCCTGGCTGGGGGTTTGACCCAGAGTGAGGGAAGTGCCTTTTATTTCCAATCAGCAGCTGATACGCAGGTGCAGAGCTGACAGCATCTGCCCCAATTGGCAGCAATTATTTGCTTTTCCAATTTGGAGTGAGGACATCTCTTTCTTGGCTGACACACAGAGTTTTTTAAAGTGAAAGGTACGTTAGAGTCCACTGCAGTCAACAGGCTGCTGCATAAAGTGGATGGGTGTAAGCGTGAGCTCTGCAGCAGTATAAGCCAAACCTCTTTTCTGGGCTGCACTGTTTTGAAAAAGGGTCTTTGGAGAATTCCCCTCAGCAATTTCTGCATTTAACACTCAGCTACAGATATGCAGTGCAGGCTGGAAAGAAGAGAGGAGGAACAGATGTTTGAAGTGCTGCTGGAATTGGGATCAAGCCGGAGACAGAGCGGAGCTAATTTGGTCTCAAATGCCAAGAGAAGGCAAGGTCTGCAACAGCTCCACTCATGTTGCTTTCTGGTCCTCAATGTCTCCCGTTGGGGTGGGGGGACCCCAGGAACCTTGTGCCTTGTGCCCAGTGCAGCACTACTGGGCATCCAGCTGCTGGCATGCAGACCTTGCAGCAGCGTTGAGTGGGATAAAGGGGCATTACGTGGTGAGAGAGTTAGGGAAAAGGATTTAGTAAGGAGATGACCATGCACAGGGCAAGCTGCTTCCACCCGCTCCCTATTTTCCCACCCTCGTTCCTCCCCAGTTCACCCCTTGTTTTCTTTACCTTCACCTCTTCCCCTAAGCATCCCATCAAAAGCTCTTTACAGTCCCAAGGGCCCTCCCTGGGTAGATCAGGAGATGAAGATCTCTATCTATCTCAGATTTGTTTCCCAGCTGTTCTTCCCTTCCACACCCCTGCCGCAGACCTGACCCATGTAGCAAAGATCACAGCGTAGCATCACCTTCATATTTGCTTTGGTGTTTTTTTAAGTGAAGCTCCTAGCTTTACCATTTTGGAAACACACAGCAGTGATGATGGCAATAATGGCAGTGAAAACAAATGCATGTTTTTTGTTCAACTGAAAACCCTTCTCAGTTCTATCAGTAACATTGTCTAGCAATAACATCAAGAAGGTGATGAGTATGTGCTCTGAAGGTATAAACTTTATTTGCACAGTTCTAGCCAATTTACATGCTGAATTGATTTCTAGGCTGGAAAAAGCCCAGCTAAAGTTCAAAAACATTTGAGGTGAACAGCACCTTTTAAATAAAGATCAACAAACTAGTAACCTTGAACTGTAAAACCACATCAGTCATAAGAATTGGCTAATAGCTATCCATGCTCTTCCGTTTAAGGCCATGCTGCCACTCTGTAAACAGGTCAAACTGATGTCTGTTAATGATGGTCTCCATTGAGCTTTTTCATTTTGTGTTTTTTTTTTTCCCTCTCTCTCTTGCTGATAGTTACTGGTCTGAATTCTGGTGCTGTGATGATCAAACCTGCCTGGAGAAGAGGAGGCTCAGGGGAGACCTCATTGCTCTCTATAACTTCCTGAAGGGAGGTTGTAGGGAGCTGGGGGTCGGCCTCTTCTCTCGTGTCATTAGTGATAGGACCAGGGGGAATGGCTTCAAGCTACGGCAGGGGAGATTCAGGCTGGACATGAGGAAGTATTACTTTTCAGAAAGGGTGGTCAGGCACTGGAATGGATGCCCAGGGAGGTGGTGGAGTCACCGAGCCTGGGGGTGTTCAAGGAAAGGCTGGATGCTGTGTTGAGGGACATGGTTTAGTGGGAGCTATTGGTAATGGGTGAACGGTTGGACTGGGTGATCTTTTAGGTCTTTTCCAACCTTGGTGATTCTATGATTCTATGATTCTATGAAACTGATCTCAGACCAAGGATCCATCCCTTGGGTAGACACAGTGTCCTGCTCAGTACGCTTCAGTGTGGTTCAGACCCACTTAAAACTGCCTGTTCTTCCTGTTGCATCTCCTGGTAGGCTAAGGGGTGAGCCTGGCTGAGCACATTGCCCCGTGGCAAAAGCCAGAAAGAATTTATCATGTGTTGGTGACGCTCAACATTTCTATCTGAGCGGTGTATCTGCTGCAAGAGCAGCTTGTTTCTGAGAGCTGGATGTCGAAGGTGCCCTTCCTACAGAAAGCCTGAGGGATCTTCTGTAGGTACAACCTGAATCGTTTCTTCATAAAAGCGTAGAGCACAGGGTTGAGGCAGCAGTGGACAAAGGACAAGCTCTCTGTGATCTGCATGGCATAGTCCAGTTGCCTACTCCTCTCACAGCTCTGGATCAAACCAACGTATTGCAGGGAGTGAAGGACGAGGACAATGTTGTAAGGGAACCACAGGATAAAGAAGACAACCACCAGAGTAAAGACAAAGAGCAGCGCTCTCCTCGAGCCAGGCACCCGAGACGTTGTGAGGACACACACGCTGCGGGAATAGCAGAACACCATGAAGAAGAAAGGCAAAAGGAAACCCAGGATGTTTTGAGTGACCTGAAAGACAACTTTCCAAAAGAAGTGTTTCTGGCCGTAATCATGCGTGCACACGATGGTTTTGTTGTGCATTTCCTTCGTGCTGCTGAAGAGGGCATCGGGAATGGAGAGGAGTATGGAGAGGACCCACAGCACCAACAAGACGAGGAAGGACTTCTTCCGTGTCACAGAGCTGTGAGGAGAGTAGGCATGAGCTACCTGCAGATACGTGTCCAGACTCATGCAGCTTACAGAAAAGATACCGCTGTAAAAATTCATGATGTACATGGCATTTAAGAGTGGGCACAACAGATCCCAGGTCACCCACTGAGAAATGAACAGGGCCCAGAAAGGAAGGGTTAGCAGCAAGAGAAAATCCGAAACCACCAGGTTCAGCAGATACACCTCTGCTGTCTTCTTTTGCTTACTGACATACATGAGGACAGTAAACAGAAGAGCGTTCCCAATGAACCCAACCAGAAATAACATGCTGTAAAAAGCTGGCAAGAATGCTTTGCCAAAGGACACCACCTCTTCTTTGGTGCAAAGGCCATAGAGCACGTAGTCTTCCTCATTCAGGTACTCATAGGGGTAGTCACTTGAATTGGCAGTGTAATCTTGGCCACCCAGCAAGGCTGTAGCTGTTGTTGCCAGCTTTGAAGCTGCACAGGGCAAGTCACTGTCTAGGAGCAAAAGACAAGAGAAGGGGATCAGCAGGGCACTTCAAAACGTCACTCCAATTGCAGGAAAAGCAAAAGTGGAATGTTTTCTTCAGCTTATAGGTTTAAATCCATGCCGCATGTCCTGCTCTCTTTGGCCTTTGCCTACAGCATGAAGACAGCCATAGACACAAACATTTAAAATCATACGTTAGGTTTCCTTGCTCCCATGCACGAAAAGCATGGTCTCCTCTGAGCTGATTCACCACTTCCCTCTGACACCACTGCACTTTTGAGGAAGTTTCTACCCTAAATTACGTGAAGTCTAGCACCACACCCAGCTGTGTACTGCTGTGTTCACCAGGATTCCTACTGAGAAAGCAGCATAGAATCACAGAATCATTCTGGTTGGGAATGACTGCTAAGATCACCCAGTTCAGCCCCAACCTACCCTCACCCTCACCCTACTGACCATATCTACCCTTTCCCAGGGACTGGGACTCCATCACCTCTCTGGGCAGCCTGTGCTGGTGCATTACCACTCTTTCTGAGAAGAAATTTTTCTTACTGTCCAGACTGACATCCTGCTTTTCAGCATAGCAGAACCTGCCACCAGCACCTTCAGCTTTAGGGCTGCTCTCAGAAACAAAATAGCAAAAAGTAACTGCTCCCAGTACAACACGGTCTCCTCTTTGTGTCAGTTCCAGGAATCAAAGCATGAGACAAGAGGTGGGTTGAAGCCCCTCCCCAAGGCTATGCATTAGAGTTGCTCCTCCTGTGCCCGAGGACTGCACACTGGTTCCAACAGCTACAGGAAATGGTCAATAACTGAGAGAACTTCCTATTTCACAGTCTGATTCTGAATGAACTCTAACCACGAGTGCATCACGAGGAAGTCATCTTCCAAAAGTCACCCAAACGGGGCAATATCTGTTACTGAAGAGATGAAATCTCCTACGGTGGGAGATAGATGAAATCTGCCTGAGACATCTCCAGTTGGTACCATGAAGGTCAGAGTGGGTTTTAATAATCGAGACTCGAGGCTCTAACAGCAAACCAAGGCTGTCACAGAGGTCAGACTGGCTGTAGATGTCCCCACCACCCCTGGGGCACACATCATGACCAAGCCTACCCTCATTTTCTCTGGGACCCATTTTTCCAGCAATTCCAAAGCATGTGTGTAGTGCAGTTCCCTGCCTGCAGCCTCTCCTGTCTTGCTCTCCTCAACTGAATCACCAAGTAAAGAGAAAATGAAGCTGCTGTTCCCAGGACGAGCTGTGCTAACCCTAACCCTACCCATGACCAAGATCCCCAAAGGCAGCTAGGACCAGAACCAGGCCTTCCTCGTGGAAGGGCCTGAAGCAGGAGCCCCTGCATCTCAGAGCAGGGTTGGAGCAGAGTGCTGAGGATCCCTGCAGTGCAGAGCTGCAAGAGCTGAAGCTACAGACATACCTGTTGTGATCCCGCATCTGACATTGCTGAAGGATCCATCCCAGGCTGTCTGAAAAGGAAAGTTCAGTGTGAGCAGAGCTGTGATGTTTTCCTGCTGTCTCACCTTCCTTTGGCGACCACCAGAGGGCAGCCAGATGGATGCACAGCACAACAGCACCGAATAAAACTTTCTGGGAATGAGCTTTTTTTCTGCTTCATGTTTTGGAGGAAAATCATCTGCAGCTGAATGCATTCTGGACTACATGTCCATAGGAGAAAGCCAAAGTTTTCCACCCACTCTGACATCCAGTCAGACTCCAAAACAGCTCCAGCACTCCCTGCACCCACACTGGGGCAGCCACCCCACACCCCCACTTCTGGGGCTTTTTCAGCTCTCCGAGATGCTGCTTCTCTCCTGGCTGTGTCATCCCTCCTCCTTACAGCACTGCACAGACATTCACACTACATCCCATGTTGCAGAGTAAAGAAGCCATTAATCCTCCCAAGAAATTAACCCCAGCCCAAAGGAAGCTCTCCAGGTTCTTCCATTATCTACAAGCACAAAAGAGAAAACAGGCTTACGAGAGCCGCTGCTCCATGGCGGGCAGTTCCCATCGTGCCAGAAGTTTGACTCAGGCTTCTAGGAACGAACCTCTCATAGTGGTGCAAGAGGAAACGTGAGCTCAGCGTGACCGCCCTGCCTTCATTTTGCCTTTCCTGGAGTCACTGCAGCGCTGACACCACCCCTGAAAAAAGCTGAATTAGGATTTGTAAGGAGGCGAGACAGACTGGGCTTACTTGGGAGGTTATCAGGAGTAGTCAGCACGGGTTCACCAAGGGGAGGTCGTGCTTGACCAATCTGGTAGACTTCTATGATGTTGTCTCTGGCTGGGTGGATGGGGGCAGAGCAGTGGATGTAGTCTACCTTGATTTCAGCAAGGCATTTGATACTGTCCCTCACGACATCCTTATAACAAAGCTGAGGAAGTGTGGGATAGAGGAGTGGACAGTGGGGTGGGTTGAGAACTGGCTGACTGGCAGAGTGCAGAGGGTCGTTGTTGGCAGTGCAGAGTCCAGTTGGAGACCTGTAAGCAGCGGTGTTCCTCAGGGCTCGGTGCTGGGTCCAGTCGTGTTCAACATCTTCATCAATGACCTTGATGAGGGGATGGTGGCCACTCTCAGCAAGTTTGCTGATGATACAAAGTTGGGAGGATTGGCTGACACGCCTGAAGGCCGTGCTGCCATTCAGCGAGACCTGGACAGGCTGGAGAGCTGGGCAAAGAAAAACCAGATGAGGTTTAACAGAAGCAAGTGTAGAGTCTTCCATCTGGGGAGGAATAATTGCATGCACCAGTACAGGTTGGGGGATGAGCTGCTGGAGGGGAGCTCTGCGGAGAGGGACCTGGGTATCCTGGTGGACAACAGGTTGCCATGAGCCAGCAGTGTGCCCTTGTGGCCAAGAGGGCCAATGGCATCCTGGGGTGCATTAAAAAGAGCGTGGCCAGCAGGTCGAGGGAGGTGATCCTCCCCCTCTACTCTGCTCTGGTGAGGCCTCATCTGGAGTACTGCATCCAGTTCTGGGCTCCCCAGTACAAAACAGACAGGGATCTCTTGGAAAGAGTCCAGCGGAGGGCCACAAAGATGGTGAAGGGCCTGGAGCATCTCTGCTATGAGGAAAGGCTGAGTGAACTGGGTCTGTTCAGCCTTGAGAAAAGAAGACTGAGAGGGGAGCTGATCCAGGTCTATAAATATCTAAGGTGTGGGGGGCAGAATGGCGAGGCCAGACTCTTTTCAGTGGGAGTGGAGACAGGACAAAGGGAAACGGCTGGAAACTGCAGCATAGGAAGTTCTGCACCAATGTGCACAAGAACTTCTGTACAGTGAGGTGACGGAGCACTGGAACAGGCTGCCCAGGGAGGTGGTGGAGTCTCCTTCTCTGGAGATGTTCAAGGCCTGCCTGGATGCCGACCTGTGCGACCTGCTGTAGGGAACCTGCTTTGGCAGAGGGTTGGACTCGATGATCTCTGGAGGTCCCTTCCAACCCCTACAATTCTGTGATTCTGTGATTACTTAGCCCTGCTGCTTGCCTAGAGGTAACCAGCCTCTTCTGCCTGTCTTCTCTTTGTACTGCAACGCGTTCGTCCCCATCCATCCACGACCCTTCCTTCTTCACCTCTCTCCTCCATGCCTCTCATCTCTTTTTCCCCGTTGGCCTTGGGTTTGCTACCTCACAACCACAGATGTGGCAGCACGCTCCTTCTAGATTTTTTTTGTAAACGCTTTAATTATTGGGAACATCCACTGTAGTCCAAGACCTACTCAGTCCTGTCACTAAACCACATCCCATATTTCCATGTCTACATGTTCTTAAGTACCTCCAGAGATGGGGATTGTGTGGAAAAAAATCAACACAGCTTTTGGGGAGTAAAATCTCAAGAACTGAGGTATGAGCTGGATGTCCTGGAGTCCCTGAAGAAACTCAAGGTCAGGGGATAGGGCTGTGAGGGAGCTGTGGGTGTCCCTGTTCACTGCAGGGAAGTTGGGTCCCTGATAGCCTTTAAAGGTCCCTTCCAACTCAACTGATTCTGTAATTCTGTGATTCTATTCCACATCCGTGTTCTTAAACAATGGAAGAGTAGCAAAGACAACAGAATGGGCAGAATCTTCCAATAAATGAATAAATAAAAGCCTCACAGCAGGGAACCTCCACAGTTTGGGTTCTTCTTGACACTCTGTGGGTGACAGGGACATCAGTGCTGCCACCATTGCGTGGGCTCAAACCAACCCAGAGCACAGCAGGATGGAAACAGCATCTCACAGAAGACACCAACCAACAGGAAACCCAGTGCTGACAGCTGGAAAATGTCAGGAAACCATCCTGCAGTGAGATGTCCAATATCACTGCTCTGGTGCTGGAGTAGCCTCCAGCCTGGTCTCCGTGTTCTCCTTGCTGTTGCTGTGGTACTTTGAGACACGTTTTGTTGGTTACTTCCTTGTCCACTATTCCAAAATGTCTTTTGCACCAAAAACATGGGTGTTACTGATTTAAAACACTCTTCAGAGAAAACCTATGCATCTCCCAGCCCACACCTCAGCTCCTCCAGGCTCTGCCCTTGCATCAAACTTGCATTTCCCTACAGCGCCCATGCAGGACCAAAAGCTGCTTGTTTCTGCTGCCAGGCTAAGACTCGGGTTTCCAAAGGGAACCAAACCAGCCATTTAGCTGGTCAATTACAGCAATTAGCTGCCTCACAGGCCTGTGCAAGCCCTCGAGCACGTCTGGGCAATGTACATTAGCAGGGAGCGAAAAGCAGAAGCTTTGATGGGGCTGCTCCAGGTGACAGGAGCTTCGTTAGCCCAGCAATGAAAACGAAGTGAGTTTGGCTTTATAATTGAGTTTCTACCCTTAAGCTCAGAGCTCAGAGTGGTAGGGAATTAAATGTGTCTGTAACAGCCACGGCCAAGAGCAGCCCTTGCTGTCATTTATTACCAGATTTTAACTCCATTTGGGAGCTGGTAATTGCAGATTCCTTTTTTTCCTTTTATACTCTGCAGAACCTTAATGGCTTTGGCAATTAATGTAACCAGATTATCAGTAATGGAAAGCGCATTTAGGGACGTTCAGTAGCATGAAAAAAAAATTAAAAGGGTTAGCAGAACTGCTTGTTTTTTGCTGCCTGGAAAAGCAGGAGTCTGCTCTTTCTGGGGCCCCAGCCTGCAGAAATGGGGTCTCCACAAAGCACTTTCCTATGCTGTTTTTCTTTGCCAAGTTGCCTCCGAGTTCAGGAGAAGGTTTTAGGCATCTTCAGGATATTCTGGGGGAGTTTTGTTTCAGCTCCAGGCACTGCTTCCATAATCAGGAACAATTTCTATGCTGTCTTTAGGCTTTAAAATCCCTGTCCCACTGTAAGGAGGGGGCAAACTGAGCTCAAATTTAGAAAATAAAAATAAGGTAAAAAGGCAAAAATCAGGTGGAGGCAAAGCAGGGTCCTGCCATCCACTAGAGAACTTCCATTTGACTTTGAATGTGTGTTTACATCAACATAATTTTTGAAGCAAAAAGCCAACAAGCTGCTGAAAAACTATGTTCTGTTTTGCTTCCTGTAAACAGCAGCTTAAAAACCCACTCTTGGGAATGCAACAGTGTGCTGAGTTCATCCCCCAAATCCCTATGGTTTTGCAAATACTGTTTGTTCTTAGTGATGTAGTAAACACTAAGGGAAAAAAATAATAATGACAATCCATAGCTGAACACAGGCACTGCCTCATGGCCCTGCTGAACTCCTGGGGCAGGCAGAGTAATGACAGCACTGATGGCATCAGCTTCACTGCCCTACATCTCAGGCCTCTCTGAGGTCACACATGGCTGCTCCTGACCCCATGGCCACGTCCCTGCCTTTCACAGGGGGATGTATGTGTTCCATATGGGTTTCACTGGCTGTTAAGTTCTTTACAGAGAGTGGTGAGGTGCTGGAACAGCTGCCCAGAGAGGCTGTGGATGCTCTGTCCATCCCTGGAGGTGTTCAAGGCCAGGTTGGATGGGGCCCTGGGCAGCCTGGTCTAGTGTTAAATGGGGAGGTTGGTGGCCCTGCATGTGGCAGGGGGTTTGGAGATTCACGATCCTTGAGGTCCCTTTCAACCCTGGCCATTCTGTGATTCAGGGTTTCCAGCACCCAGAACCTGTGCAGCCCCACATTGTGATGCAGCCACTCCAGACACCCCTGCACAGGTGTCTGTCGGGCTGACATCTCTTCTTTGTGTATCAATGCTGCAACCTCTGCACTGTTTGATTTTGCCCTAAAAAAGCAAAATCCTCCCTGTCCCCCCCCCCCCACACACACACACTTCTCCATTCAGTGCTGGGCACAGGAAGCAGGATCCCCTCTGTCCCTTTGTTATCAAAGTGAATTTAATGCAAGAAGATGGAGCAGAAGGGCTGAGCTGCAATCAGAAAAGTGCAGAAGGGACGGCACAGAAGAGCCCTCGGGATGGAAGGGTCCATACGACATCACGCCGCCCCTCCTGCAGGCACTGCTGATGGGGGGGAGGGGAGGAGCCCCCGAGTGACGTCACGTCCTGCCTCACCTCCTAGTCCATATAAGGACTTTACTCCATATAAGGAGCAAAGGCTCCGCCTCGTCAAGCGGCGCTCGGGATTGGCTGGCGGTGGGCGCGCGGGGCTCTGGGAGCTGTAGTTCTCAGGCAGGGCGAGGCTGCCGGCCAATAGCGCGGAGGGGGCGGGGCCTGGCGCCGCAGACGCCGGCCGGTGTCGGGAGCCGAGTGCGGAGTGGCGACTTCAGTGCGTGCTGTGCGGTGGGAGCGGGGCGCCGGGTGCGGGGCGCCGGGTGCGGGGCTGAGGGTCGTTTTCCGGCCTGTCTCTTTCCTATCTTTTTTCTCGTTCGCCTCCTCCGTGTCGAAGCCGTTCTCGCGGGCGGCCTTGCGGGCTTCGGTGTGTCCCGGGTGTCGGGCAAGGTCAGGGCGGCTCGGGCCGCTGGGTGCTCCCGGCGGCTCGGTTGGCGTTCCCCGGGCATGAGGTGCATGGTCCTGCGGAAGAAGGGCGGAGCGCAGCTCGGCAGGGCCCTGGGAGCGGTTTGAGCGTTTATTCTAAAGAGCTCTGGGGTGAAATGGGTGTGCAGGAAATGCTGCTCGGCCCGGGCGTGCTGCCTGTTCCGTGGTGTGCTCCGGCAGGTCCCCGGCCTGCCCTTAGCGTAGCTCTACAGTGCGGTTCCCGG